TTCCCCTGAGCCCTGTGACCCCTCCAGCCCTCTGGCAGTTTTTGGGGTGCCCTGAGTCCCCCCAAACCTGGTTCCCCTGAGCCCCCTGACCCCTCTACCTCCTCCCCACCCCCCTGGCAGTCTTTGGGGTGCCCTGAGTCCCCCCAAACCTGGTTCTCCTGAGCCCCGTGACCCCTCCACATCCTCCCCACCCCCCTGGCAGTTTTTGGGGTGCCCTGAGTCCCCCAGACCTGGTTCCCCTGAGCCCCCTGACCCCTCCAGTCCTCCCCAGCCCCGTGGGGGTGTCGGGGGTGCCCTGAGTCCCCCCCAAACCTGGTTCCCCTGAGCCCCCTGACCCCTCCACCCCCCTGGCAGTTTTTGGGGTGCCCTGAGTCCCCCCCAAACCTGGTTCCCCTGAGCCCCCTGACCCCTCTACCTCCTTCCCAGCCCCCTGGCAGTTTTTGGGGTGCCCTGAGTGCCCCCAGACCTGGTTCCCCTGAGCCTCCTGACCCCTCCACATCCTCCCACCCCCCTGGCAGTCTTTGGGGTGCCCTGAGTGCCCCCAGACCTGGTTCCCTGAGCCCCCTGACCCCTCCACATCCTCCCACCCCCCTGGCAGTTTTTGGGGTGCCCTGAGTCCCCCCAAACCTGGTTCCCCTGAGCCCCCTGACCCCTGCAGTCCTCCCCAGCCCCGTGGGGGTGTCGGGGGTGGCGTGTCCCCCGTGTGACAGCCGTGTCCCCGCAGCCCACGGTGAAGTACGAGACGCAGCCGCGCTTCATCACGGCCACGGGCGGCACGCTGCACCTGTACCAGCTGGAGGGGCTGAACTGGCTGCGCTTCTCGTGGGCGCAGAGCACCGACACCATCCTGGCCGACGAGATGGGGCTGGGCAAGACCATCCAGACCATCGTCTTCCTCTACTCGCTCTACAAGGAGGTGAGGGCGCCCGCGGGGTGTGGGGGCACCCATGTGGGGATGGGGGCACCTGTGGGGGCACCCATGTGGGGATGGGGGCACCTGTGGGGGCACCCACATGGGGCTGGGGGCAACTGTGGAGGCACCCACGTGGGGATGGGGGCACCCATGTGGGGATGGGGGCACCTGTGGGGGGCTGGGGGCACCCACGTGGGGCTGGGGGCACCTGTGGGGGGCTGGGGGCACCTGTGGGGGCACCCACGTGGGGCTGGGGGCAGCCACGTGGGGCTGGGGGCACCTGTGGGGGCACCCATGTGGGGCTGGGGGCATCTCTGGGGGCACCCACGTGGGGCTGGGGGCACCCCAATGGTCACTGGGGTCACCCACGTGGGGCTGGGGTCACCCCAGTGGTCACTGGGGTCACCCATGTGGGGCTGGGGGCACCTGCTGAGTGCTGGGGTCACCTGCCTGGTCCCTTGTTGTCACACACCTGTCCCCACGTTTCTCAAGGTCCTGTCCCCGTGTCCCTGTGTGACGCCGTGTCCCCAGGGCTGTCCCTGTGGTGTGACACCGTGTCCCCAGGGCTGTCCCCAGGGCTGTCCCCAGGGCTGTCCCCGTGTCCCCCGGGCTGTCCCTGTGTCCCCGTGGTGTGACACCGTGTCCCCAGGGCTGTCCCCAGGGCTGTCCCGTGGTGTGACACCGTGTCCCCAGGGCTGTCCCCAGGGCTGTCCCCAGGGCTGTCCCCGTGGTGTGACACCGTGTCCCCAGGGCTGTCCCCAGGGCTGCCCCGTGGTGTGACACCGTGTCCCCAGGGCTGTCCCCGTGTCCCCAGGGCTGTCCCCAGGGCTGTCCCCGTGGTGTGACACCGTGTCCCCAGGGCTGTCCCCAGGGCTGTCCCCCTGTCCCCAGGGCTGCCCCGTGGTGTGACACCGTGTCCCCAGGGCTGTCCCCAGGGCTGTCCCCGTGGTGTGACACCGTGTCCCCCAGGGCCACACCAAGGGCCCGTTCCTCGTCAGCGCGCCGCTCTCCACCATCATCAACTGGGAGCGCGAGTTCCAGATGTGGGCGCCGGCCTTCTACGTGGTGACCTACACTGGGGACAAGGACAGCCGCGCCATCATCCGCGAGAACGAGTTCTCCTTCGACGACACCGCCATCAAGGGCGGCAAGAAGGCCTTCAAGATGAAGGTACGGGCACGGCGGTGCCACCCGGACAGCGGGGACAGCGGGGTGGCACCCGGACAGCTGGGGTGGCACCTGGACAGCAGGGGACAGCGGGGTGGCACCCGGACAGCAGGGGACAGCGGGGTGGCACCCGGACAGCGGGGTGGCACCCGGACAGCTGGGGACAGCGGGACAGCGGGGACAGTGGGGACAGCGGGGTGGCACCGGGACAGCAGGGACAGAGGGGTGGCACCTGGACACCTGGGGACAGCGGGGTGGCACCCGGACAGCTGGGGTGGCACCGGGACAGCGGGGACAGCGGGGTGCCACCCGGACAGCGGGGACAGCGGGGTGGCACCCGGACAGCTGGGGTGGCACCTGGACACCTGGGGACAGCGGGGTGGCACCCGGACAGCGGGGACAGCGGGCTGGCACCTGGACAGTGGGGACAGTGGGGTGGCACCCGGACAGCGGGGGACAGTGGGGTGGCACCCGGACAGCAGGGGACAGCGGGGTGGCACCCGGACAGCGGGGACAGCGGGGGACAGCGGGGTGGCACCTGGACAGCAGGGGACAGCGGGGTGGCACCCGGACAGCTGGGGTGGCACCTGGACAGTGGGGACAGTGGGGTGGCACCTGGACACTTGGGTCACCTTGGGATTCTGAGTGAGGTTTTTCCAAGTTTTGGGGTTCTGGGTGAGTTCTGGGTGGGGTTTCTCCACGTTTTGGGGTTCTGGATGTGGTTTCTCCACATTTTGGGGTGCTGGGTGAGTTCTGGGCGGGGTTTTTCCACGTTTTGAGGTTCTGGGTGAGTTCTGGGTGGGGTTTCTCCACGTTTTGGGGTGCTGGGTGAGTTCTGGGTGGGGTTTCTCCACATTTTGAGGTTCTGGGTGAGTTCTGGGCGGTGTTTCTCCACATTTTTGGGTTCTGGATGTGGTTTCTCCACATTTTGGGGTGCTGGATGAGTTCTGGGTGGGGTTTCTCCACATTTTGGGGTGCTGGGTGAGTTCTGGGTGGGGTTTCTCCGTGTTTTGGGGCGCGGGGGCCCCGCTGAGCCCTGCCCGTGCCCGCAGCGCGAGGCGCAGGTGAAGTTCCACGTGCTGCTGACGTCCTACGAGCTCATCACCATCGACCAGGCGGCGCTGGGCTCCATCCGCTGGGCCTGCCTGGTGGTGGACGAGGCCCACCGCCTCAAAAACAACCAGTCCAAGGTGGGGGGCACCCCAAAACCCGGGCATGGGGCTGGGGGCACCCCAAAAGCTGGGGGTGGGAGTAGGGGGCACCTCAAAACTCAGAGATCCCTGATTTCAGGGTCTGAGGGTGACCAGGCAGGTGTCAGGGGTGTCCCTGGTGGGTTTTGGGATGTGAGAGAGGGATCAGGGATGCTCAGGTGGATTTTGGGGTGCCCCGGTGGGGATCAGGGCTGTCCCAGCTGGATTTTGGGGTCTGAGGCAGGGATCAGGGGTGTTCCCAGGTGGATTTTGGGGTCTGAGGCGGGGTCAGGGTTGTCCCAGGTGGGTTTGGGGTCTGAGTGGGGGGATCAAGGGTGCCCCAGGTGGATTTGGGGTCTGAGTGGGGGGATCAAGGGTGCCCCAGGTGGATTTGGGGTCTGAGGGGGGATCAGGGCTGTCCCAGGTGGATTTTGGGTCCCAGGTGGGGGTCAGGGCTGTCCCAGCTGGATTTTGGGTCCGAGGGGGGGGTCAGGGCTGTCCCAGGTGGATTTTGGGTCCCAGGTGGGGGTCAGGGCTGTCCCAGCTGGATTTTGGGTCCGAGGGGGGGGTCAGGGCTGTCCCAGGTGGATTTTGGGTCCGAGGGGGGGGTCAGGGCTGTCCCAGGTGGGGGTCAGGGCTGTCCCAGGTGGATTTTGGGTCCGAGGAGGGGGGGTCAGGGCTGTCCCAGCTGGATCTGGGGTCTGAGGCCGTGTCCCCGCAGTTTTTCCGGGTGCTGAACGGGTACAAGATCGAGCACAAGCTGCTGCTCACGGGGACGCCGCTGCAGAACAACCTGGAGGAGCTCTTCCACCTGCTCAACTTCCTCACGCCCGAGCGCTTCAAGTGCGTCCTGTGTGTCACCTGTGTCACCTCCGGTGTCACCGTGTCACCTCCTGTGTCCCCTCCTGTGTCCCCTCCTGTGCCACCTCTGTCACCTCGTGTCCCACCAAATCCTGATGTCCCCACGCTCACCCCGTCCCCGTGTCCCCAGTAATCTGGAGGGGTTCCTGTGTCCCCCCATGTCCCCTCACTGACCATGTCCCCTCACTGTCCCCATGTCCCCTCACTGACCCCGTGTCCCCACGCTCACCCCGTCCCCGTGTCCCCAGTAACCTGGAGGGGTTCCTGTGTCCCCCCATGTCCCCTCACTGACCATGTCCCCTCGCTGTCCCCGTGTCCCCAGTAACCTGGAGTGGCTCCTGTGTCCCCTCATGTCCCCTCACTGACCCTGTCCCCATGTCCCCTCCATGTCCCCGTGTCCCCAGTAACCTGGAGGGGTTCCTGTGTCCCCCCATGTCCCCTCACTGACCCTGTCCCCTCACTGTCCCCGTGTCCCCTCACTGACCCCGTCCCCATGTCCCCTCGCTGTCCCCATGTCCCCTCGCTGTCCCCGTGTCCCCNCCCATGTCCCCTCGCTGTCCCCATGTCCCCTCGCTGTCCCCGTGTCCCCACGCTCACCCCGTCCCCGTGTCCCCAGTAACCTGGAGGGGTTCCTGGAGGAGTTTGCCGACATCTCCAAGGAGGACCAGATCAAGAAGCTCCACGACCTGCTGGGCCCCCACATGCTGCGGCGCCTCAAGGCCGACGTCTTCAAGAACATGCCGGCCAAGACGGAGCTGATCGTGCGCGTGGAGCTCAGCCCCATGCAGAAGTAGGCGCCATCCCCTCCCCGCGGGGCTGTCCCCAGCCCTGCCACCGCCGCCGTGTCCCCAGAATGTCCCCAGAGCGGCCGGTGGCACCGCTGTCCCCGCAGGAAGTACTACAAGTACATCCTGACGCGCAACTTCGAGGCGCTCAACTCGCGGGGCGGGGGCAACCAGGTGTCGCTGCTCAACATCATGATGGACCTCAAGAAGTGCTGCAACCACCCCTACCTGTTCCCCGTGGCTGCCATGGTGGGGACACGGGGACACCCGCGGGGCGTGGGGGGACACGGGGACACCCACGGGGTGTGGGGGGACACGGGAACATGGGGACAGACACAGGGTGAGGGACACCGGGGACACCCGGGGGTGTGGGGGGACATGGGGACACCCACGGG